GAGGACGAGGCATGTCTCAGCATTGACTCGTGAGGACGAGGCACGTCTCAGCGTTGACTCGCGAGGACGAGGCGTGTCTCAGCATTGGGCGTGGTGGGTGCGCATGTGCACCCCGTACTTCTCTATCGTGCGGAACGCCTCGTCGCACAGCGCACACTTGTACAGCGTGTCGAACCTGCCGCCGCCCACAGCCATGGGCGCGTCGCCATCGCTCTCCCCCGCCTCCCTCTTGACGCGGATGACGTTGATTGGACACGTCGTGTGGAGAGACATGTGAACGGTCAACGCCTCCCAGCTGTCGAACGCGCGCCCCGCGCACACGCCGCACGCGAATGCCGGTGGCGTCACCTGTGGGGTGAGCGGCGACGCGGCGGCCGGCGCCACCTGGTTGCGGTACACGCCGGCGGATTTCGGCCGGTCGTATCGCTCGTCGAGGTAATGGTTGCCGCGGGCGACGGCGTCGATGGCCGCCGTCGCCATGGGAACGTGCGAAGTGATGAGCACACCCATCTGGCAGACGGGTGGTGGCTTGCGGCCAGGCGCATCGTCGGGCGACGTCACCAGGTGGCGCTCTCGTCGATCCGTCGTCGCCGTCGCCGTCGCCATCATCGCGGGGAAGTGTCCGTTGTTGTAGACGTGCGTGTTGAGAATGCGTCGCTCCGGAAACACGGCCTTACACACGAAGCACGTCCACTCCGCCTTAGTCGATGCCGGCGACCGGTGCGCCGCCCTGGTGGCGGCAGCGTCACGGTGTCGCGTTTTCGTCGCTGCCTCCTCGGAGTCGGAACTCCCCGCCGCCGAGTTGGTCGACGCTTCGGACGGCGGCGCCATCTTGCGGGCGCGAGCAGGTGGCGCCACCTTACGGGCGCTATCAGGCGGTGGTGCGGCCTCCTTGTCGTCCGGCTGCGTCGCTACCTTGCAGTGCGTCGTCGCCAGGTGGCTCTTGCGTTGCAGGCTCGTCGCGAACACGCGCCCGCACACGACGCACGCGAATGTGTGCTTGTCCCGCGGCGGCGCCCCCTTGCGGGCGGCCTCGTGGCCGCGCCGGTGTCGCTTCAGCGAGTCGAAGTGCGTGTACGAGGCGGGGCAAGCGTCGCAGTAGAACATGCGCGTCGTGGCGGCGCCGCCGGCGGGGGCGTTGGCGTCACGCACCATCTCGGACGCGGCGATGCCGGGGAAGTGACGCAGCGTCGTCACGTGCTTGTTGAAGTCGAATCGCTCGCAAAACTGCGCCCCGCACACCTTGCACGTCCACAGCTTCCTCCCCCAGGGGGCGCCGCCGCCGCCGAGGGGGCGCC